TTTTTCTTATTTGCAGCTATAGTAATAAGTAACACAATGCATCAAAAGTATGAAGAAACTTAAAAAAAATTAACATGTAGTTTTGTCAAAAAGAGACCATTTGCGATTTTGGTCCCCCACTTAACCCCCTCATATCTCAGAATGATCTCCAAGCTGACCTTAATTTATGTCATATCATGATGGTATACTGGAACCTCAATGTATGTATATAGCCACCCGAATGCCCAAATTGGCACCCGTCCTTTGTATTTCGTTTTTACATGCCCAATGGATAGAACAACGAATATCCAAGATGGCCAATGCTACCCTATTTTACCATCGTTGAATACAATATTAATCGCTCCAGTCATTAAAAGCGTATATATTTGTCAGCTAGATTTTGTGGAATTATATAGTGGGATTGTCATGCAACGGTGAATATTACCGTCAGTTTTTGGGGACGCAATAGAGAGATTTCTGAAGCCAATAATGTGAGACGATTTAACAGCGGCCATTTTGTTGTTGGCTGATGAGAGCGCCGGCCTCTAGTGTCGAAACTATACAAATTTGATCTTGGACAGTAGTACAATAAAAGCCAGGCGGCATCGTTCCAGAGTGGTCAAATGATTATCCAATCAGTAGCCGGTAGCTTATCGCGTGACGTCAATGAGAAAGCATTGAAAGTGTGGTCATGTGATTGCTAAGGAATTCGAACAACCCATTGTGGCAATGTATATTTCATACGTCTTACATCTATTTTCAAAATAGTTATAGGCACAGCAATTAATTTGAGTTTCTTCTATGCATAATATCTAGTCATTAAGTACAATAAGGATGGAAGTGATTGTGCTGTATTGTGAATTTCTCACGCTGGTTTCATTTTTATGGTTATGCGACACATTTCACGATTACGAATAGTCCCTGATGTTTCATCACAATGAATATTTAATTTAATCGTTCATATCTTTTATCTCTCGCAGGACAAGGACTTTGTCAGTCTTACAGGAAAGATAAAGAGTACTACCCTCGCGTCGATCAAATACCAAAAAAACGTCATGCCGCCATATTTTGCCGTACATCAGCAACCTAAGCAAAGTGCCCACCTGGCCGATCGGCCTTTCGTGACCCGATGTGCGCAAATCAAGCAGGTCTATGTAACAACCATAATTGTTATCTCACCCATTAATGAATCCGGGTCACACTAGCGGGTGCAGTTACGTTAGAATATAACAGTGGTTGTGTTACACGTCTGTTTGTGTCACCTGCTCCTAAACGTCTTTTCTGTATTTGCATATTGTTGAGACTTATTGTGTTGTTGTTTAAGTTATTTGTGATTCTTATCAATAAGACACAAAATAGATTGTTTTCAGAATATTAACAGTATAATGCAGTTAGTGGTGGAAACCTATTGGTAAATTTGCTACAGCGAATTTGAAATATATTGTGTAGAAATGTCGCGTTCAGTGATATTTAATAACATTACAGTGATAGACGTTAGTGCAGACTAATTAATTGTATACATTAAAGTCGCGGTTACATCTTACGGTCTACTATAGTCAACCATGGTCATCCCTCACTACGGTCAACAACGTGCGTGACCAGAAGATCTGACCGCGGCTTAAGAGTAACCTGTTCATTTTTCACAGTTCCGAGTTTTGTACCCACCAACCAAACATGTTGTTATAATCCAATAGCTATTACATTGGAATAAATCAAATCGGGAACTGTTCCGGATTATTTGTCATATTATTTGAGTAATCGGGAATCGATCCCGGCTTGGCGACAAATTCAAATTACTCTAAGGAATTCCCGAATGATGATTTCAAATTGACATTTGCCGTTGGAAGAAACTGCTGGTAATAGAAAACAAAGCCATTAATTTTAAACTGAAAGAAACCAGAACATAAAGATGATATATAATTGTGTTGTTGTTTTAAACATATATATATATATTTATCGCATAATGTACTGTGTTATCCAATTAACATTTACCAATGTAATATGACTTATCAGCCCTTTGATTGGTTGTAAGTACATGACGTCACAGACTTACGCACTGGAGTCAAAATGGTGGCTTTTTACATTTCAAGGTTGCATGAAAATTGTCGTTTTAAACGAATAGCTGCCACAAGTCTTGAGTATGTGATAAAAAGGATCTTTCACTCGTTATCATTTCATATGAAAGTTGAGAAACACGAATTTTTCATTTTAGCTCGCCAGAGGCTCGCTAAATTGAAAAATTCTTAGACTCGTTTCATAAATCTCATATGAAATGGAATATCACGTACGTTCCTATATAGATGGATTGATATCACGTATCATGAAATATTTTTGAAAGGAGCTTTGTTACATATCATCACAAATGTTATAAAAATATGCATTTCAATCCACCGATAGTCGTATAAACAAAAAATGATAGTTTTGTAATTTGTTTTTTATGAATTTATGAATTGTGAAAATATAACGAATGTGATCGAATCTAGCTCGCTGTTATGTTTTACGCGAATTTCCAGTACATTGGCAATAAAGCTCGTAAATGGTTAATTACGTGCAAACAAATGTTAAACTTTTAGATTCAGTATTCAGAGTCGCTAGCTTTATACCAGTATACATTCATGTAAAATCCATAAAGGTGAGATAGACATCATTTTGTTTAAACCAAGAACAAGATATATAAGTCTTGGGATTTAATGATCATCCCCAGATAATATACACGAGAAACGTTATATTTCTGCACACACATGTTACCGAACGTTTCATTAAGCTGACGATTAATTACTCAATTACAATATAAGGAAGCACATGCATGTATCTAAACATGCATTAAGTCGATGCAGAAACCCAAACACATGTAACAATTTTATTGCACCATTATGGCCATTTTGTCCATTTGTTACAGCAGGTGCTGCTCGTTTTCTCTTTCGTAAGTTTATATAATAGCAAATAATTAGCCTGAATTAACATCGTTCAGATCAATAAGTTCACTGCTGTTGATGCACACATCAAATACATTTCAAATAGCTTAATACAATTTTATGCAACAGCTCGAAATCCCAGGAACAAGATAGTTGCTTCTAGTCAAGCTTGTTTGCATATATCGATGTCCCCCTAATTGTTATTGTCATTGCTATGACGTCAGACAAGAGACTATCTGTGGCGTTCGCTGTCATGTCATTGTAGACACACCTCGAAACTCCAGCCGTCTACAAATGTATGTAACTCTTTATGCTGCCAAATCCATCAGCTCGTAAAGGTGGACCAATAGTCCCCGATGATCGCCTGTCGGCGGGGACAACGAAACCTATGTACTCTAATAGTATCAAACAGAGTGACCAGCAGGTACGAAGCTACCAACCAGACAATAACGTCGATTCTAGAAACCAAGCACCTGCTACTTGGCGGCATTTACTTTATATGTGTCCGCCGATTGTGTCGTGATTTTGCTTTTTTTTTACAGGCATGTTGACATTACCAACATCCGACACCGCAAATCAACGGCAGAACAGCACACAATACATGTATCTTCATTTGAAGACTGTGTTTTGCTTGTTACTTCATTGTGTTTGTAAAATAGCAGAGTTAACTAAACACTTTCATCGAATGTTGGAAATGTTTTATTTTGTAAATAACTATTATGATTTCAGAGTATTCACAAAATAGATCGTAGATGAATCACACCCTTCTGATTGAAGTGTTATACGGACATAACAATGTTATTGACCAGCCTTTTAATATCATCTCAACGTCATTACCCATTTTTAAAGAAACTATCCCATATCTAAGGTGCAGACAGTGTCTCTCCACAAATCTTAGAAAACTGGCTGTGACCCTCCACCTATCCGACATTACAGACAATAACTCGCGCCTTATCCTACAGGAAATGCTGGTTGTAACTATCAGGGATTATTACTCATTACAATGGGGACATGTGTCCGATAGGCTGTTGAAAGGTCCAGCACTCAACATCGCCAAACCAAATCGCGGTTGGCGAAGATGACGAATTAACTTGTTTCAAAAGGGTATTTGTTAGAGGTATGACATGTCCTTATTAACTGTTTGCGCGTCATTTACTCTTTTCATTCCGATGGCGAATTGCAAGTACCGTCTCAACGGGGCTCGAGTGTATGAAGTGCTCTAACCGAAGCCACGGCCAATTGATAAAAACGAAAGCATACCAGCATTCTGGTTATGTGATATGTCTTTCTAACAACGAGACAATTTCATCTGAATAGGAAAATGCTTGAAACAGCGAACATTTCATAACTATAATTACCTCGATTCGGTTACTTTAAACAACTACATTTACATGTACGCTAGCTTATATATATATACGGGGAACTGCAAATACCATTCTATAGTATACATGCAATAGTGTTAGTTCGTAAAATAGAAAAACGTAGTCTCCAGAATAAAAAGAATACATTTTTCGATGATAGGGCCTGTTATTCCAGCGACTGTGAAGGAGAACAGATTTCCTGTTAAGCCGGAACACTCGACGATAAGGGTCATAACATTTGAGGCTAGTAAGATCAATTCTAATTCCGCGCGATACATTAGTACTAAAGACAATGGCGACACATCCTTGTAATTAACGAAGACAATACTCGCGCGTGCCTTGTGTGCCACTGTCAATCTGGCCAGGTTACACGTACATATAATTCTTCCGGGAGAGTTAACATGGCCTTACAGCCTTCTCTCTGTATGTAAATAAGATATTCATCTCCTGAACACTCCAGTCGGACTCGTACACCTATTCGGAAAACAGATGCATATAGGCTTTGTATATATAGAGCTGATAAACCCAGTATAGAATGAGTTATAGACTGGTTACATTTTTTTCTTTCTTGACACTTAGTTTTGAAAACAAACACCGACGGATACTGATGTTCCCGACAGTTCCCGACATATGCCGGACACATGGGCCTTCACCGCCACCCAGCCTGCCTCTATACTTCAGCCGATAAGCTTCAATATTGACTTATGCAGCCGCCCATAGGTACACATTGATTTCGCCACAAATGTGAACGCTATGTAAAGTCTCACATGTACAACAAACTCCGTAGTAATAGAAAGGAAAAAGCCATTTACTGTGATAATGTACCTCGCTTTTAACTCGTGTATGGGGTACAGCTACCGGATGGTCAACTAAAGCACTACGGATTACAGCTATAGGGTGTTCGTTCCACAAGAAGTTTGGCACCTGTGACAATGGCACCGTACAGGTGGGAAACAGCGTTCGTCCATGTACTTATCATGATTGGATTGACAAGGGGATGCAGAACAGGTAAGATCATATTTATAAAAAGCAATGATATTATGTTAAAAAATGAACACACTTTATTATGGATAACTTTGATTTAAACATGCACGGAATTGGAAATGCATCGCGAGAAAAATGTGCTGCATGATGAACTAACACAGAAAGCAGAAAAAATCATTGATTTTTATTTCACTCCATGTTTGCAGATATTTACATTTTAATCTACAACATGCCATATTCCGTACTCACTTAGGAGGGTTGTCGTCACATGGCCGGTGCTTTTGTTCGTATAGTAGCACCTCTCAATTTTGCTACACACACACATTAAACATGGTATGGTCACAGATGGAAAGAATCGGTCTATTTGGTAACAATGCACCATTAAAGTATGTCTGAGTAAGCGTCGTTTCACGCGATACCTAATTGGGTCCAGGCGGACAAATCAGTAATGGAGGATCCCCGGGGACGCTTTCCTCTAATACAAATTCTATAGTAAATAAGACCATTTGTTCGTTTTCTGATATTTCGTTACGAGTGAAACATGCTCTAATGTTAAAATAAATATCCGAAATTACCATCGGCAGACCAAACTTTAAAAAGCTGATTTAGAAAATCACTTGGCACATTTTGGGAAACCCCACTATGTAACAGTTTTGGATCCTTCACTGTTTACGAGCGTCGCATATTAGAACGCTGATTACTTAAAGATTGAAAACATTTTCGTTCTCATACTTGCATTTACACGTTTATTGTCAATGACGCCTTACGAAGAGTATGTATCACTGGATTCTATTTATAAAATGTTGTCATGCATATTTACTAAACAACCCTTTTAACTCTGAACATCATTTTTGAAGGGGCGCTTATTGGGGTAATACCTGCCGTCCGTTTATTCTCATGCCTTTTATGGGAGTGATCTAAATGCACGTATACACCTATATTGGTAGATGTATTGAGCATGCGCGTGCGGTCAGGCCATTTAGGGTATGTTTGAACATCGGGATTATTTCAGAGAAATGTGTATTTGGCTTTGAACCCATCATTTGAAACATGTTTTATTGATAAATGACGTTTGTTTTGCTTGGGTTGCGTGTGATGTGGGCGTGCTTGGGATCAGCCTTTCTATACAAAAAGGAACAGCTATATACCAATATGCGTGACAGCGTGTATATTAAAAACATTTTTCAATTTGAAATTATTCATGATACTTGTTTTAAATTCATACTTTGCTTGTGAGATCTTCATTTTCAAACATGCCAAATATTCGTATTGTTATTGTTTTCTTATAAACAAGGCATATACACACGTATACCAAAAACCTCCGACACAATTTAGTGAACGTAATAGCTCTGATCCAATATATAATACAATGAAGCTATGTTAAAGGATTGCTTGGTGTTGAATTCGGAAGGAGCCTCTGCATCGATATGTCAGGTTTCTGTCGGCGTCCACGTGGAGTGATTGATTGTCCGTTGGTAGGTGACACGAGAGAGGCAATAAGCTGCAATAAAACCCATGGTTGGTCTGATTTCATGCATTTTATTCACTGAATATAAAATTCCCTGATATCGTACGTATTGCTATGCAAAAAGATAGAGAATATTTAACGGAATACCGACATACCAATGACGTCACACTTGACAAAATGGCTGCGTGTCATTTTATAATTTTACCGTCTTCTGTTTTTTTGGTAACATTTGCCTTCCTAAACGGCGTCAATTTTGAAGTCAATAAAAAGTGCAGTTATGATTGGTCAATAACAAATGAGATATATTCACATCGTGACAAATATCACTTTCGATATGTGTCACAGTTTGGCAAATTTAAACCGATTCAGCACTTTATGCTTTCTGTATAGTGCTCTGATAACATGTTATGGTTATATAATGTAGCAAAATGTTTTTCCTTGTCATTGTTGAATACCTGTTGACAAGGCATGTCCCCATTTTTAAAGCATACAGGTAGGTATGGCAGGTTTGGCAGGTATAGGGAAGCCGCCCATATAGGCGTGAACGCCGCGTTCATATGATCCTATACATTTGTAGCGGAACTGGACTAGGATCGTCGGCGACCAGATAGCTCAATTGGAAAGGTTTCCGTCTTGACTTCAGAGGTTCCCGTGTTCGAATCCCAGCCTGGCCGTCGCATTCCTCTTTTTCCTGTTACTCACTTGTAAATATATATCATGTGATCTGTTTTAAATTGTATCGTTTTGAAAGTGTAATGCTTTCGTGGTTTCCATTCTTGGTATCTTGTAAATTGTATATATTGGTATTACAATTTTATATATGGAAAATTATATCTGTTGTTTTACTAATTAGCAGGCAGTGCGTTAAATGTTTTTCCATAAGTGATAACATTTGTGAAGCATATTTATGGAGAGGTATTCTAACATTCTCCACAAGAAAAATGTGTATTGCTTGAACACTCATATCCGATTTGAAACATGTGCCAGGGATGGAAAACGAAAACTAATTAGCATGAATTGGTAATGTATTGCGTCTGGGTACAAACTAAATGTCAATACAATATAACGTTTTCTACTGCACAACATTTCAATTAAAATTTCCACTGCCAGGTATTACAATAAGTATTTCATCACATCTGTCCAAGTGTGCGTTCAATGGACTATATCTGCCGTCTAATGTCTGTTTAAATACTGTTTCTGACAGGGCGTAGACCATCTCCAATGCCGCGTGTCACTACGATACATTTCACATTAGTCCCATTAATAGAATGGGACAATGTAAAATGTTTTGTTAAACAAGAACAACCCGATATAGATGTGTCACGCATTATGGAGTAATTTGTTCAGAAATGTGAAGAGGATGCCTATCAATGTACAATGAGGACCCAAAACACTTTGAGAACAATATGACTACACTTACCCACACGACCTAACCACGTTCTCAATGTCAAGGTCATTGTGTGTTTGCTCAACAAGCTTCGGGGTTATTAAACACGTAATGTGCAAATATAAGTCGACTTTGAAATGCACGGGCTGAACAAAGGTAAAACATTAGCTTAATGAAATATCAGTGTAAAGCTTTCATCAATAATATTTTCATAATTACTGATTGAAAAAAGATTGATTAAAGATTGAAAACAAAAAAATACATGACATAGGGATTAATATTTTCACGGGTATTTGAAAATAATATTACTCACTCTATTAATTAATCTTATATTTAGGTCCGTGAGGTCTTTGAATACCAATAATGGTATAAAATATCAGGTAGTTTTAATTACCAAACATCCACATATACCAGCGGTTATGGGTGTCTCTCAGTATAATTCATTAACAATATTCCTGTATCCACTTTCATCAATATTTAAAAATCACTTAAGAAAAAAACGCACCCGATGGCTTCCTATATTTGAGAAAGTTTGCAGAACCATACATGATTAAAGTTCTAGTGATTAGCATTATCTACTTAACGCAATTACAAGAAGTACGAAGTGTGGACACTTTTATTTAGAATTTAGTTGGCGGATGCAGAAACCCAGATAAAAACACACACGTAGGTGAATAAGAACAATCCTGTTGTCTAAATCGTCTGAATATAAAAGCTATGAGGGTAGGATTGGGAAGGATATCGAAGATCAAAAAAGCGCTGGTCACCTAAAAAGAACTTATACGATCTGAAACTTAATAAAACATAAGAGTTGTTTGTATTGTACTGTCTATCTCAGTATCATTTAAATATAATGAAACTACCACGTGGTGTCAAGGATGTAGTTCCTGGCTTAATAGGACAAGATATTGCAAATATCTTAATGCTACGCGTATCTTCATTTATAGCACTATTTTTTAATACAATACCGAATATGCATACTATTGCATTGTTTACATTCTAAAACGTTAAGATGTCGGACTTTCTGTGTGTAACATGAATAAACCCGGATTACCGGAACTGCGCCATCTTAATGCTTTTCCCATGTAAAACGTGTGAGGTGTTACGCACACATTGATCAATAAAGCGTCGCACCGGTGATGCCAATAACTCAATTTGTTAATCTGAAAATGATATTGTTATATTCGAATTATGCACAAATATTTCATGGAGTTCGGGTTTTTATGAATCGCTACAATACACAAAGGAAGGCGACACCAGTGCATCTGCTGAATTTTGCAGATCATTTCTTTCCCCTCTTTCCCCGAAACAATCTGACAGCGAGAACAGAGCTAGCGGTTAAGTTGAACACGAAGCGAAAACACATTTAATCGATCAGACTAATTATGAATAAATTTTATGTCCACACTTCCCCGGTATGCACAACAATTTCGTTTACAATGTTTAGAATGTAGTATAAAGTAGTCTTTAACATTCTACTTTACGCGTGTATAACGATCAGCCTTGATATTGATGTTGGGGTAAGGTTTGTATTTATGTCTTAAGATCACATATAGATCAATTTAATACATGAACACATAAGCTGCAGTATTTATCCTTCGTTAATTAACTACAGTTATCAAATCTATAAATCATTCAGTTCCGGGCGTTACTCTATTCAATTCCTTCCATACACTTTACGTATATTGCGAACGATGTACAAGTCTGTGATTCCCTAGAGTAAAATCTTTAGGCTGCTAGCTTCACAACTTTTGCAATTTATGCACATTTAAGAAAATACATTTATAAAATGTTAGAAGTTAGTTTTTCCATAGAGAATCGTTGACATTTGTACTACTTTATATACTAAATATACCAACTCTTTGCAGTTTTGTTGTATCGTTTATGCAATTTGTTTATATCGGACAAATAGATGAGTCATCTTTATGACCCCATTTAAACATCCATTAAGGGGTGGAATGAGTAAATACATTAACTGTTCCTCTGACTGGCTGCAGAATTAGAGTGTTATTTGGACGAGATGTCTCGATATTTTCTGACAGCTGTCTTTACCTATTCGGCACATTGTGGCTTAACGTGTTATTTTCACCGGTTTTGAGTCGAGACGTCAGTCATTTGCATTCTTTACTTGACAAAGAAAACAGACCTTTTCAAAAGCTCGCAAAACAA